GCACGAACGAACTGCTGCATCGCAAAACGAACACGGCACCACTGTGGTTGGTACACCTCACAATGCACGACCCATCTCCATCAGCCAACTCCAATCAACCGAAATCGGTACGTGAGTATCCAGAGCTTGACTCCCTTTCTCTGGACAGGAACGTGAGTATCTAGTACTTGACTCCATTCTCTGGACAGGAGTACCTGTCCTCTATCCAAGGTGCATCCAAGGGCGGGCTCCAGAACTTGCTCCTCTATGTTGACTGACATGTCTACACAAAACGGACCTGTTCGGATGTTGGACATTTCGTCTATACGCGCTGCATCTGCCTAATCAAGATATAGATGTTCTTTTTGCAAAAGCGGGGTGCACTGACTGACACAAACTCAATGAAGTGCGGCTAAAGGGCTGGAGATATCTCGGGTCGTGATATCGGCGGAGGGTTCCATTGATCCCGCCGACGAGAAGCAACAAGTCGGAAAACCCGCATGCCCGAAAACCGCTTGGCGAGTTTGATCGAGACATATGTCCTGGACGTTTCAACCAAACATCGATGCTGTGCAGTGTGATGCACGATGCACAATCTAAGTGCGGTTAGAAAGACCAAATGCCATCGTCTATTCAGCTGGTCTGCGGATGTGAGCAAGAAGTTGTATGACCGAAGTCCAGCACACCAGGTACAGGGGCTTGTAAGACACATGACGATGTGCGCTCTGTTCTGATCGGGCCAACTTCGCGACGTGCTACCGTTGACGCCATCTTCGCGACCGTGCTTTTGTCGACACCATCTGCTCTTCGTCCATCTGACTCGCGAATGAACATTCGCCATGCGTGCGAGAGTCCGAGACGTTCATATGCTGGTTCGCACAAGGTCGTGGTTTAACGTATCGAAACGTGGAACGATGCATTACGACGTACACACGCTTGCAGTCTATACGCCCCACGTCGTATTTGCTGCGTTCACGCTGCTTTCACATTCACTGTTGCACGATGGGTTGACGTGTCGTTGTTCGTTCACTCACGGCGTCAGAAGCTGGCATATGGCACTGCAAGGCCAGCTCCTTCCGATATGTGTGGTCAACCGTGCTTACCAGCCATACGAATTCCTCGTCGAACCTATCAGACGTGATCGTAGAATAGCTGTAACTCGTGCGTGCGTGCGTCAGTAGCTGGTCATTCGGAAAAGGTGCTCGACAGCATTCATTTTACCGCTACCCACGATGCGACTTCTTCGGCTTGACGTGGCTGTTCAATAACGGATGCGCTAGCTCTACCTGGCATCCCTGGCAGTCCTGGCAGCGATCGCCGAATACCGCCCGCAAACACTCATCACTCACTACTTCATTCACGCTCTCCGCAGCAACCAACCACCCAACCAACGAGCCAAACAACCGACCGACCGACCGAACACAAACGTCTTTTGCAGCTCATCAAAACCTGACTGCCAGCCATGGTCAATGCCATTTCGTTCGTCGCGCTTGTGTTTGCTGCGAGTGCTGCCGTGACTTCGGCTGTCTCCATGCGCGCCGAGGCGGCTCCCATGCCGAATGGAGCATGGCCCAGTAGCCAAGGCGATGTAAAGTTTGCAGCGCCGTACACGGTCAAGAAGGGCGAGGTCTTCGATGGCAAGATGAAGACGTACCAGCGCTCAAACGTCAAGTGCCGTGGCGGCATGGAGAGTAGCTGGCGAAACGCCGTCTTCGTTGTCCAGGAAGGCGGTACACTCAAGAACGCGATCATTGGTATCGATCAAATGGAGGGCGTGCACTGCGAGGGGGTGGCAATATCGTCAACGTGTGGTGGGATGCTGTATGCGAGGACGCGCTGAGCATCAAAGGCGGTTCAAAAAGCAGCGTGACGAGAGTGATCGGCGGCGGTGCGCGCTCGGCTGCCGACAAGGTGGTGCAGCACAACGGCTACGGTTCGTTGATCATCGAGGGGTTCTATGCGGTGAACTACGGTACATTCTGCCGCATGTGCGGCGATTGCGGCAACAAGGGTGTCGCCATCAGCCTCAAGAACGTGTTTGCCGTCAACGGTCGCGTGAGACTCGTGACGCAGAACGAGGGCGACAAGGTCACGGTTGGGGGGATCAAGATCAAGGGCAAGAAAGTCGAAGTGTGTTCGGTCGGCACGGGCGCCTCGCGCACGTCCTGCAACTACTCGCCCAGTAGCGTCACGTATGTGTGAAGGAACTATGCTGACCTGGAATGTGTATGTCATGAGCGTCATCGTTGAAGTTGTAGTGTTGTAGTGTTGCAGTGTATCGAATAGAGATCGGTGGAAACCCGTATGAAGGACTGGTCTGTTCGTTTTGTCTGCTACGCCCAGGTGTTGCACGTGACGCCGTCACATCGTTGTGAAGTCGCGTCCGTCCTGCCTTTCGATGCTGAGCGGTCCTCTCAGAGCTGTCATGTCATTTCGGCAGCTTTGGCAGCGATGTGTGCTGCAAATACCGAACAAACTCGCTGATTCGCACAGGATTGCAAGCTCGAAGGAAAAAATAAAACGATCCGTTCTTTGTGCGGAAAAGGTAAAACGAAACTTCTCGACAGCCACTTTCTTCGGTGTGGCTCTTGCTCTTTCTGTCTGAAGTTCACGCACACACCCGCACGCAGATGGTTCGCACAAAAGCGGCCAAGGGAAAATCGTGCAAGGAAGCAAATGATCTGCGCTTTGCAGTGTCGAAGGCCTCAAACCTCCGGCGTTACAGCCTCGGCACCTTTTGCAATTGGAGCACCACCGTCAGAAGCACCACCACCACCAGCATTTTACCAAATTTTGGCTGCACCGGAATTCATCAAACCGAGGGGGGGGGTAACATTCGTGTTACCTCCTCTTCGATTGCGCAACCGCAGCAAACGATCGTATGAGAAGATGCTGTGCCGAGTGAGTTGACGTTGGCTGATTGAAATAGTCTGCGTCTTCAGGTGTCATTATCGCTCGTTCATGTGTGACACTGCAGATGTGAGAGCTAGGTGTACGACAGCAAGAAGGCCTTAGAGTCAAGCGCGTCCTTCTCCACACATAATGGCTGTACTGTGGTCCAAGCTAGTATCTCGCGGAGGACTCGAAATAAAGTGGACAAGCATGCTGTGGTCCGAGGTCGCACGCATGCAGCCCTTACTACTCACTTATTGACAAAACAATGAAGTAGCACTAAGACGGCGAGATTGACGTTGGTATTGCTTTACTCATCCATCGTATTGAAACAAAAGAAAACGTGAGAAGCTAAGCGTTACCATCCCCACTCGACAGCGGCGAAATCTCCCAACCTTCTCCTCTTCCTCGATCAGTTTCTTGTCGTCGGTTGCTTTCGCCAGGTCTGTTGGTGGTGGAGGTGGTCCGGTTGTTGTTGTTTTGGGTTGTATTGTTGTTCTTGTTGGTTGTAAGGTTGTTGGTGTTGGTGTTTGTTGTTTTGTTGTCGCTTGCTGTAGCTGCTGTATTTGTGTTGTGCTCTTTGCACAGGCAACACCATTCATCGCCTCTTACTCCTCTCAGCCTTCTTCGTCCACACATCATCAGCACGAACGAACTGCTGCATCGCAAAACGAACACGGCACCACTGTGGTTGGTACACCTCACAATGCACGACCCATCTCCATCAGCCAACTCCAATCAACCGAAATCGGTACGTGAGTATCCAGAGCTTGACTCCCTTTCTCTGGACAGGAACGTGAGTATCTAGCACTTGACTCCATTCTCTGGACAGGAACGTGAGTATCTAGTACTTGACTCCATTCTCTGGACAGGAGTACCTGTCCTCTATCCAAGGTGCATCCAAGGGCGGGCTCCAGGACTTGCTCCTCTATGTTGACTGACATGTCTACACAAAACGGACCTGTTCGGATGTTGGACATTTCGTCTATACGCGCTGCATCTGCCTAATCAAGATATAGACGTTCTTTTTGCAAAAGCGGGGTGCACTGACTGACACAAACTCAATGAAGTGCGGCTAAAGGGCTGGAGATATCTCGGGTTGCGATATCGGCGGAGGGTTCCATTGATCCCGCCGACGAGAAGCAACAAGTCGGAAAACCCGCATGCCCGAAAACCGCTTGGCGAGTTTGATCGAGACATATGTCCTGGACGTTTCAACCAAACATCGATGCTGTGCAGTGTGATGCACGATGCACAATCTAAGTGCGGTTAGAAAGACCAAATGCCATCGTCTATTCAGCTGGTCTGCGGATGTGAGCAAGAAGTTGTATGACCGAAGTCAAGCACACCAGGTACAGGGGCTTGTAAGACACATGACGATGTGCGCTCTGTTCTGATCGGGCCAACTTCGCGACGTGCTACCGTTGACGCCATCTTCGCGACCGTGCTTTTGTCGACACCATCTGCTCTTCGTCCATCTGGCTCGCGAATGAACATTCGCCATGCGTGCGAGAGTCCGAGACGTTCATATGCTGGTTCGCACAAGGTCGTGGTTTAACGTATCGAAACGTGGAACGATGCATTACGACGTACACACGCTTGCAGTCTATACGCCCCACGTCGTATTTGCTGCGTTCACGCTGCTTTCACATTCACTGTTGCACGATGGGTTGACGTGTCGTTGTTCGTTCACTCACGGCGTCAGAAGCTGGCATATGGCACTGCAAGGCCAGCTCCTTCCGATATGTGTGGTCAACCGTGCTTACCAGCCATACGAATTCCTCGTCGAACCTATCAGACGTGATCGTAGAATAGCTGTAACTCGTGCGTGCGTGCGTCAGTAGCTGGTCATTCGGAAAAGGTGCTCGACAGCATTCATTTTACCGCTACCCACGATGCGACTTCTTCGGCTTGACGTGGCTGTTCAATAACGGTTGCGCTAGCTCTACCTGGCATCCCTGGCAGTCCTGGCAGCGATCGCCGAATACCGCCCGCAAACACTCATCACTCACTACTTCATTCACGCTCTCCGCAGCAACCAACCAACCACCCAACCAACGAGCCAAACAACCGACCGACCGACCGACCACAAACGTCTTTTGCAGCTCATCAAAACCTGACTGCCAGCCATGGTCAATGCCATTTCGTTCGTCGCGCTTGTGTTTGCTGCGAGTGCTGCCGTGACTTCGGCTGTCTCCATGCGCGCCGAGGCGGCTCCCATGCCGAATGGAGCATGGCCCAGTAGCCAAGGCGATGTAAAGTTTGCAGCGCCGTACACGGTCAAGAAGGGCGAGGTCTTCGATGGCAAGATGAAGACGTACCAGCGCTCAAACGTCAAGTGCCGTGGCGGCATGGAGAGTAGCTGGCGAAACGCCGTCTTCGTTGTCCAGGAAGGCGGTACACTCAAGAACGCGATCATTGGTATCGATCAAATGGAGGGCGTGCACTGCGAGGGGGTGGCAATATCGTCAACGTGTGGTGGGATGCTGTATGCGAGGACGCGCTGAGCATCAAAGGCGGTTCAAAAAGCAGCGTGACGAGAGTGATCGGCGGCGGTGCGCGCTCGGCTGCCGACAAGGTGGTGCAGCACAACGGCTACGGTTCGTTGATCATCGAGGGGTTCTATGCGGTGAACTACGGGACATTCTGCCGCATGTGCGGCGATTGCGGCAACAAGGGTGTCGCCATCAGCCTCAAGAACGTGTTTGCCGTCAACGGTCGCGTGAGACTCGTGACGCAGAACGAGGGCGACAAGGTCACGGTTGGGGGGATCAAGATCAAGGGCAAGAAAGTCGAAGTGTGTTCGGTCGGCACGGGCGCCTCGCGCACGTCCTGCAACTACTCGCCCAGTAGCGTCACGTATGTGTGAAGGAACTATGCTGACCTGGAATGTGTATGTCATGAGCGTCATCGTTGAAGTTGTAGTGTTGTAGTGTTGCAGTGTATCGAATAGAGATCGGTGGAAACCCGTATGAAGGACTGGTCTGTTCGCTTTGTCTGCTACGCCCAGATGTTGCACGTGTCGCTGTCACATCGTTGTGGAGTCGTGTCCGTCCTGCCTTTCGATGCTGAGCGCTCCTCTCAGAGCTGTTATGTCATTTCGGCAGCTTTGGCAGCGATGTGTGTTGCAAATACCGAACAAACTCGCTGATTCGCACAGGATTGCAAGCTCGAAGGAAAAAAATAAAACGATCCGTTCTTTGTGCGGAAAAGGTAAAACGAAACTTCTCGACAGCCACTTTCTTCGGTGTGGCTCTTGCTCTTTCTGTCTGAAGTTCACGCACACACCCGCACGCAGATGGTTCGCACAAAAGCGGCCAAGGGAAAATCGTGCAAGGAAGCAAATGATCTGCGCTTTGCAGTGTCGAAGGCCTCAAACCTCCGGCGTTACAGCCTCGGCACCTTTTGCAATTGGAGCACCACCGTCAGAAGCACCACCACCACCAGCATTTTACCAAATTTTGGCTGCACCGGAATTCATCAAACCGAGGGGGGGGGTAACATTCGTGTTACCTCCTCTTCGATTGCGCAACCGCAGCAAACGATCGTATGAGAAGATGCTGTGCCGAGTGAGTTGACGTTGGCTGATTGAAATAGTCTGCGTCTTCAGGTGTCATTATCGATCGTTCATGTGTGACACTGCAGATGTGAGAGCTAGGTGTACGACAGCAAGAAGGCCTTAGAGCCAAGCGCGTCCTTCTCCACACATAATGGCTGTACTGTGGTCCAAGCTAGTATCTCGCGGAGGACTCGAAATAAAGTGGACAAGCATGCTGTGGTCCGAGGTCGCACGCATGCAGCCCTTACTACTCACTTATTGACAAAACCATGAAGTAGCACTAAGACGGCGAGATTGACGTTGGTATTGCTTTACTCATCCATCGTATTGAAACAAAAGAAAACGTGAGAAGCTAAGCGTTACCATCCCCACTCGACAGCGGCGAAATCTCCCAACCTTCTCCTCTTCCTCGATCAGTTTCTTGTCGTCGGTTGCTTTCGCCAGGTCTGTTGGTGGTGGAGGTGGTCCGGTTGTTGTTGTTTTGGGTTGTATTGTTGTTCTTGTTGGTTGTAAGGTTGTTGGTGTTGGTGTTTGTTGTTTTGTTGTCGCTTGCTGTAGCTGCTGTATTTGTGTTGTGCTCTTTGCACAGGCAACACCATTCATCGCCTCTTACTCCTCTCAGCCTTCTTCGTCCACACATCATCAGCACGAACGAACTGCTGCATCGCAAAACGAACACGGCACCACTGTGGTTGGTACACCTCACAATGCACGACCCATCTCCATCAGCCAACTCCAATCAACCGAAATCGGTACGTGAGTATCCAGAGCTTGACTCCCTTTCTCTGGACAGGAACGTGAGTATCTAGTACTTGACTCCATTCTCTGGACAGGAGTACCTGTCCTGGATCCAAGGTGCATCCAAGGGCGGGCTCCAGGACTTGCTCCTCTATGTTGACTGACATGTCTACACAAAACGGACCTGTCCGGATGTTGGACATTTCGTCTATACGCGCTGCATCTGCCTAATCAAGATATAGATGTTCTTTTTGCAAAGCGGGGTGCACTGACTGACACAAACTCAACGAAGTGCGGCTAAAGGGCTGGAGATATCTCGGGTTGCGATATCGGCGGAGGGTTCCATTGATCCCGCCGACGAGAAGCAACAAGTCGGAAAACCCGCATGCCCGAAAACCGCTTGGCGAGTTTGATCGAGACATATGTCCTGGACGTTTCAACCAAACATCGATGCTGTGCAGTGTGATGCACGATGCACAATCTAAGTGCGGTTAGAAAGACCAAATGCCATCGTCTATTCAGCTGGTCTGCGGATGTGAGCAAGAAGTTGTATGACCGAAGTCAAGCACACCAGGTACAGGGGCTTGTAAGACACATGACGATGTGCGCTCTGTTCTGATCGGGCCAACTTCGCGACGTGCTACCGTTGACGCCATCTTCGCGACCGTGCTTTTGTCGACGCCATCTGCTCTTCGTCCATCTGGCTTGCGAATGAACATTCGCCATGCGTGCGAGAGTCCGAGACGTTCATATGCTGGTTCGCACAAGGTCGTGGTTTAACGTATCGAAACGTGGAACGATGCATTACGACGTACACACGCTTGCAGTCTATACGCCCCACGTCGTATTTGCTGCGTTCACGCTGCTTTCACATTCACTGTTGCACGATGGGTTGACGTGTCGTTGTTCGTTCACTCACGGCGTCAGAAGCTGGCATATGGCACTGCAAGGCCAGCTCCTTCCGATATGTGTGGTCAACCGTGCTTACCAGCCATACGAATTCCTCGTCGAACCTATCAGACGTGATCGCAGAATAGCTGTAACTCGTGCGTGCGTGCGTCAGTAGCTGGTCATTCGGAAAAGGTGCTCGACAGCATTCATTTTACCGCTACCCACGATGCGACTTCTTCGGCTTGACGTGGCTGTTCAACAACGGTTGCGCTAGCTCTACCTGGCATCCCTGGCAGTCCTGGCAGCGATCGCCGAATACCGCCCGCAAACACTCATCACTCACTATTCATTCACGCTCTCCGCAGCAACCAACCAACCACCCAACCAACGAGCCAAACAACCGACCGACCTACCGACCACAAACGTCGTTTGCAGCTCATCAAAACCTGACTGCCAGCCATGGTCAATGCTGTTATGTCGAAGGAAAATTGGAAAGTGTATTGAATTAGTTTTCCTATGAACTTACTCGTCGTGTTATCTTCTTCTACCTTGTAGCTTTCCCTGATCTTGATGGATTCTAGAACATACACTCAAGGTAGTTCTAGAATCATCAGACTGCACGTGAACCGTTTACACCCTGTCGTATCATCGCTGTCTTGTCACTTGTGCGTAGCAAATCACAGTTGGCTTTGTTGACCGTGCATTGACAGTGCACACATCAACACTCCCACTCACTGTTGATGCTCGGGTCCATCACGTACCTTGATGTCCATTCCGGCACGGAGGTACTGGAATCGCTTGGTGCCGAGTGCCTTCGTTAGTATGTCGGCAAGTTGATGTTCCGTCTCCTTGTAGATCACCTTTATATCACCGGCCAGAACTTTCTCTCGGACAAAGTGGTGACGTATGTCTACGTGTTTAGTCCGCGCATGGTATCCTGGGTTTGTTGCGAGAGCAATGGCTCCTTGATTATCCTCGTAGATGACAGTAGGATTCTTCTGCTCGAATCCGAGGTCAGCCATTAACATCCTTGCCCATAGTATGTCTTGAGTGCACATGCTTAGCGCCATGTATTCAGCCTCAGAAGTACTCAATGCAACGGTGCGTTGGTACTTAGACTTAAATATAACAGGGCCTCCATTAAGCACCAGCAAAACACCAGATACCGATCGACGGTCGTCCAAGCTGTTTCCCCAATCGGCGTCACTATACGCTGTTAGTTGTTGCTGTAGTTTGTCAACACTGTAGTGTAATCCAAAACCACTCGTCGAGCGGAGGTATCTTAGCACTTTGATCAGTGCCTTCCAGTGTTGTGAACCAGGGTTTTCTGCAAATCGTCCAAGTTGGCTCACAGGAAATGCTGCGTCTGGTCTGGTCGTGGTCACTATAAACAGCAGTCGTCCCAGCAATTGGCGGTACGGTGTACGACTCATGGCTTGTCTTTCGACATCGGACTTTGGACTGTTTGCGCTGGACAGTTTCATGCTCTGATCACATGGGTTACCAGTTGGTCGGGCTTGAGTCTGTCCAAACATGTCTGCAGTCTCCTCGATGTATCTTTGTTGCGAAATAAACATCTCACGCTTCTTTCGGTCGTACATAACTTCCATTCCAAGCAAGTGCTTCACTGGACCAAGGTCTTTGGTTTGAAACCGCTGAGAGATTTGTTCTTTCACCTTGCGTACCGTGGTTGCTTCTTTTGCAGCCACAATCATATCATCAACGTATAAGCACACGTACGCCCAGCCTTCACCATCCTTTATCTTGTATATGCATCGATCAGCACCGCACGCGACAAATCCCATCTCCAGTAATGCATTGTGAATCGTCTTATTCCAGGCATTTGCAGCCTGCTTAAGTCCGTAAAGCGCGCGATTCAATTTAAGTACAAACTCGCTGCCAATTTTCATCCCTTTGGGTGGTAACAAGTATACTTCTTCTTGTAGGTCGGCATTCAGGTAGGCCGTATCAACATCAAGCTGGTCGATCACATATCCTGCTGCGCAGCAAATCGACAATAGCATCCTGATGGAGTTCATACTGGCGACAGCCGCGTATGTCTCGAAAAAGTTGATACCATATTGTTGCAGGAATCCGAGCGCCACAAGTCGTGCTTTGTATCGACCATCACTCTTTTTAGCCCATACCCACTTCGATCCAATTGGTTTCATTCCAGGCTTGCGTACAATTGGTGTCCACGTCTTGTTACGCTCATGAGCCGCAAATTCATTCTCAATAGCTTTAATCCATTGGTATCTGTCAGGTCCATTCACTGCCTCCGCATAAGAGCCAGGTAAATCACGAGCTATCATGGCAACTTCTGCTATCAATGCCACATCGCTGTTTATTCGCGATCGCTTGGAAGGAGGTTCGTCATCTTCACTCCCACTGGCTTCATGGTTTTCATTGTATGGCACAATGCTGTTTTCTGTTGTGGTACTAGTGTTATTGTCTTCCAACAAGAGCTGAACAGGTTGCTCAATTGGTAGCATTTCATCAACACCTCCTCGTGGTCCGGATTCACTTCTCCCACTGGCATCGTCAGTAAGAACACGATACTGATGCTCGCGACCGGAACGACGCTTAAGTTGTGGACGGAACACCATCGCTCCAGAGTCGTGCGGATTGTGTAATTCGAGTTCTTGGTGACGAGGTCCTTGTTGAATTACTTGGGAAGTGTG